ATTTGTTGCAGTATTTGTTGGTACACTGTAGAAGTAACAACAGCCTGTACATCGGAAAAAATTTTATTCACTGCATTAGTTTAAAATAAAATAATAATATGATTATTTTATCCTTAGAAACATATTAAGGTCTGTCAGAATTTTCATACAGTATAATTCTAAATATGTTGTTTGAAAAGGTACTTTTAAGAAATATTAATTTTCATTTTTTCCAAAGTTTTCAATTTTTAGAATTTAAAATGCACTCAAGCTCGTGCCATTTCTTCATTGTCACTGTATAGCATAAATTATACTTACTTCATATTTTACACCTGAGATGTATCTTTACAATGCACACAGCATGCACGGAAAATGCAAATCTGTAAAAGTGTTAAAATTTTCTGTAAAAGTCAGAAATTGAAAGCAATATCATTCACACAAAATGCAAGCTTTTCCCCCCTTTGGTGCCTTGTGATTTTACTGTACAGTAGGTTACCAACATATATACGTTCAAGTAGGTAACTGTCAGCACGTGTAGGCTGCAAAGGAAAAAGTAAATTTTTATTCCATGCTGAAAGGAAAAGAAAAGAGACACAATATTTCAGCTGTGGAAGCTTCGTCAGGTGTGTGAGTTTCTTGGAAAATAGTTGAAGAAGTCTCTTAATGGTAGTCTGGGTGGTGTCCGTGTTAAAGGAAAAGGTGTTACATTTCAAACAAAATCCTTTAGGAATTTAGAAGGAGGAGAAGGAATGATGAAGAGATCTAGAAAAAGATTTAGCAGAAGGCATAGTGGGTCCCAGAAATGGGTTGAAGAAGTTCAAGTGGGTAGCTGCATTAGCATGGGTAGGCTGCAAAGGAACAGGTAAAGGTCTATTCCATGCTGAATGGCTCTTTCTTTTCTTTTCCTTTCAGCATGCAACAACATACTTAATAGCCTCCAATGTGAAAAACCAAACAAATAATAATTTCCTGGCTATCTCTAAATGTGGAAGGGCAGATGTTAGATGCATTTCTTTCTATTTATAGTAACATTTGAAAAATTAGGGCAGTAGTTGAATTGCACATGGATTGGAAGGATAACTACTTTGGTAGTGGATTTAAAATCCTGAAACCCCTGTTAAGTAGGATTACAAAATGTTATCTTAATGTTAACATTACTTATGTTTTACCAGGAATCGTCCTTTATTCACATGCATATCATCTACTGTAGTTTACTTGCAACAGCTGTAGGAGAGACATTTGCAATGATAAGCTCAATGAAGCCATACACACATAAAATTGATGTACTGTATACGATGTACAGTACAGAATACTTTTTCTTTGTTACTCCCTAAATCTCATCCATTAATGTTTTTCCATTTCAATACTATACCTTGTTCATGCACATTGTAATGTGATTCTTTTAAAATTCTTTGGCCATTTTCTTTAGATTGTAATTCATAAATACATCTGTCTACTTTTATATACACATGTGTATACATACAAAATAATAAAACATGATAAGAAAATAATTAAATTTAAATGTGTTGTGATTTTGTGATATATGTTTTGTACTTGATTAGAATTAAAATAGATTAAATGACTGCTATCTTTACAGAACTTGAATGGATCGTTGCACAGCTGGGTGTTCTTACAAAATCGAGTTTAGCAACCCTTCAGTTTTACAAAGAAAAAGGACTTTAAAGAAACCCTTTATAAAAAAAGTCTTTATAAAATCTCAAAATGGCATCTTTATAGGTCTAATTTATATTGCCAATTTCTATTCCTCTGCCTCACCTCTTGCAGGTCCTAGGTTCAATTCCAGTCTCCTTTCTTTCCATGTGTTGGAGTCAAGTGGTTATTTTTTCAACATCACTAACCTATCCCTAAGTGTGTGCCCTTTAATGGAATGACACCTCATACAAGGTGTAGTCCCTCAGTGTGCCCTGTTTATTCCAGTATGAGCTCTGGTTTATTACATCCCTTACAAGGAAGGAGCATCTTGCTGATAATGTATACATGGATTCCACAGTATGTGAAAGATATAAAGGAAATGTTTGATTAAATATCCAAACTAGCCATCTACAAATGAACAAACCTATCCTTAAGATACAGTTCTACCAGTTTGAAGTTAAAACGCTTGAGTTAAAAAATGCATTGCCTCCTGATTATATTTGGTGTGAATGTAATTTGATATAAATGTCTTTTGTCTGATATAGGATATTATTATTTGTTCACATATTTTAAAGAGAAGATCTGTGCTGTGTTTCTTCTGTTGTAATAATTACAACAGCAAACTTTATTCTGTATAACCACATTCATGGTACAGTACATCATCCCAAAGCATTGAACATATGGTTTCATAGATAAGACAATGTAATCTTCAATGTGAGGGATAAAGTTGGTGAGTTTATATTTGATGGGAAGGTACCTCTTTTGCAAATAGTTTTTAATCTTTGTGTATGTGTTTTATATTTTTATGAAGCTGTCCAACCCTTCTCTAAAAAGGTGGATTTTAGATCGTTTTTTGTCTGTCATGAAAAGTTTGGTAAATATCGGTTTATTTTTGTCTCGGCATGCTTCTCCCAGTTATAAACATAATCCCTTTTTATGCCCCTCATCTCCTGAAACAATTTGTTTTGTGCTGCACTAAAAAGTGTTTAAATGTGAAACAACAAACAACAGTTCATTTAAAAAAGCACGGAATGTTTACTCCTTTTTTATTTTCCAATTAAAATGTGAAAGTCATGAAAAGGAATGTTTACCTGTTTTACTATGTAGCAGCAATGCTTATTAATAAGACAGAATTAAGTGTTGCTGTGCCTCTTCCAGAGGCCCCTCTCTCTCATCTCTGTGGTTCAGGACACACAGAGACCATTCCATGTGGTTTCTAATTTAAAGTGTTTTCTTACTGACAAGGAACCAATAGGCAGCTCAGCTATCATGATCAATGCCCATATCTGTCTCAGAGATTCTTAGGAACATCTGGATTCCTAGGGACAGAGTTGATTGTTACTTATCCCTAGAAATGACCAAGCAATCAGGAACCTGCAGGGCATGTGGGTCCCGAATGCCCGCCAAACTCTCAACCAATCAACAGCTGTATTGTTCCCCATTAAAAGGCGATGCACAGGCCTCAGACCTTGCTCCTCTGTCTGTTCTCGTGCTCAACATGGACAATCACATGACTGGCAGTGTTGTCTGGTAGAGTGCTGGGACTCGCACTTGTTCCAAGCGCTAGGCTGGAGGAAGCCCATACGCAATGACAGATCTGCCCAGTTTTGCTTGCAGCAGCCCTCATGAATCGTTGGCCCCATCATGAACACCCGTCTGATCACTGGTGCGACATACAGTAGGACTCTTTGTCTACAATCTGAATAAGGTTTTATTCAGCAGTAGCACTACGCCGGAGGCGAACTGAGTTCCTTCCTCCCCAAAGAGTGTTTGCTTGGACTGCAGTTACCCCCTGTGCACAGAGAACTACTATTCAGCCACGTTATTAGTAGAGCCATGGAAAGAACGCTGTCTAGCGCTACAGCAGGGGAAATCTCTCCTTCCTTCTTCCACGACTCGGAGCTGCACCAGGACTGGTTTGGCACCGAGCCAGAACCGGGCCTGAGGACGCCCGACAGAGCCTACGACAGAGCCTGCCAGCTGGTCTTTGTGTCCGTGCCCCGGTAAACAGATATCCGTATCTGGATAAGTAGCCCGATATTCTACATTGCTACCTCGAGAATTAAATCTGTTTCTCAGCACAAGTGTAATGTACTTACTTTTGAGTATCTAGTGTAAAATGTATATTCATGAGACTGATTAATGAAATGGTATAGCTGAATGGTATACTGAATGCATATTCCTTGTTAAGTATGTCTTCATGATTATATATCTTGCATTTTGTTAACCCTCACAGTAAGATCTTCCACCTGTAATCAGGCAGACTGATATGTTTATATATGCACAGTTTTATGTATTAATAAATGTATTCCGTGTATTTGAATCCGTGTGTGTGAGTTGCTGATTGTTCCGACCATTGATCTTCTAAAAGCCATAAATGCCCATGATTTACTGCCATAATTAAAAAATTGTCCCAGTGAATTCACAAAACCCCTACAACTGTTTGCATTTACAGTATGGATACAGCATGCCTGGTGCGTTACATGGTATGAAGGGTTTAAGTAAAATAACAATGTCCACCTGGAATATACAGAGGTGAATAAAACTATTTAAGGTAACCATGACGTTGAAATGAATTATCCAGGATTATTCCTAGTGTGCTTTTGAGTCTGAAATTAGCAATTTAGAGCTTTTTGACAATGGAATACAATAGAAGGCAAATTTGAAGTTCAAATAGAGCACAATGTAGAAATTGTCTAGAACATCTGGTCAAATTAGTATTTCAATATTCAAAGTCAAAACAGCAGATCATTGGAACAATTTTTGAAAACATTGACAGAGATATTGCTGCAAGGGTTAAGTCTGAAGAAAAAGGTTCATGTCCATCATAGTGTACAGATTTCTGTGAACAGAAATAAATGCCCAACAACAAAAAGTTGTGCATAATATGATAAGCTTCTATTTTAAGTAGAAGTCAAATATGGTACATTACAAAAAGAGAAGTACAGTACCTGTACATATTTTCAGTTTCAAAGTAAATACAACATCTTGTCAAGGTCAAAGTACTTTTCAACTGGTTCATTTTAGGTATACTTTCAGTTTGAGTTTAAAAGGTATACACTAAGACATACAGTAACTAAAAACTCATGATACAACATGTAATAGGGGTTATTGACTTCCCTTTAATTTAAAAATATGTATTTTAAACTCTTAGCATATAAGAAGACATACAAGTATTTGGAAGAAAATCCTTAATGGTGAATTAAACATTTGTCTTGTTTTTTTTGTAACAGAAGAGTTTCTTTGAGTAGGATATCTATTGGATAAGGAGCAACTGTGTCTCAGTCCTGCTAATTTACTTTACATATGATATGTGGTTCTCACAAGCAAAATAAATCTTTGCAACCTATTTCTGTTTTTTTCCTCAGATGGCTACACAACCGATGACATTGAGTTCTACTGGCGTGGGGGAGATCATGCTGTGACTGGAGTTGAAAGAATAGAACTGCCTCAGTTCTCCATTGTAGACTACAAGCTTATATCCAAGAATGTTGTATTCTCCACAGGTAACTGCAAAGCTGCTCCAATTCTATTTTGAGCAAGCTTCATGGTATAAAATAGCATAACTCAATTGAAAGGCACACCTGAAATACACTATTGTTTATTGTTATACTTCATCCACGTTACAGGCAGAAAACTATATGTTTTCTAAGAACATGATACTTAGATTACATGTTTTACAGAAGAGATTGATACTGGATTTCCATTTTAGATAATGGACCCGTCAGGATACCAAAAAACATGAAACTAGTGTAAGAAGAAGAGGTAAATTCTACTCTGAAAAATAAAAAGAGAAATAAGGCAACCCACAAAGTTTCAATTCTGGAGCCTTCTCCAGGTGTGTGAAGTAGGCCTCTCACTCAAAACATTGTTCTTTTTTTATATGTTTAAGTGACATAGCTACATTTTAATATGTACAGTATCTCTTCCTTTACCAGTATGCTGGGCATCCCAGTTTGAAGCTATGTCATTTCTCACTTAATCATTCATGCTAGAGTAAGAAACACAATATTTTGCAATGCTTCCTGTGATCACATGAAGTGGCCATTAACAGTAGGAAACAGGCATATTGTTGGTGTCGTTCTTCAGCTGCAGCTTCTCATTCTCATTCAGACTCTGATCAGTCCTGATGCCACCTGTGGGAATTTCTGAGGATGTTGGTCTTATGTTCACAGAGCTTAAGCTCATGAGTTATTTAAGGAATGTTTTTTAAAGTCATCATTTATTCATGAAGTGAATTATCATATTCATGAATGTTATGCAAGAAGCTAAAAGCAGAGTAGTGGAATAAATGCATTGTAGACATGTTTATTCTGTGAGAAAAATAAATCAGTAATTAAATCCTTTTCTTGACTTAATAATGATTTCTTTAGTTTGATTATTTTTGAATAGGTGTGGTTTACTAGCCAAAAGTATTAAGGTTTGTGAGACAGACAGTCATGTGAAACTTGCAAAAATTGACAGCTCTGTGGCAACAAGTGAACAGTGTTAATTGGCATCTTATTCTTAGGTATGCTAATTACTGCACAAATGGTAACATTATTGTAGAACAGAAGCAAATAATTTATCTTATCTCTTTCTTTTTGGGTAATTCTAAGATATTCCTATTTTGGCAAAAGAATACATTATACATTCATTAAAGGCACATAAACATGGGTAAAACCATCATCAACCTAAAGTTGAATTTTGAATGTGGCTACACCCCTCCCATTTAATAAAGGGAGGCTTTAATGCAGGTAACAAAAAGGAAAAGGCTTGAGTTTTCTGTGAACAGTTATCATTTAATAACTCTCTCATCCCCTCTTCACTCACTGGGTTTATTTCAGCACGTCCTGGTTGGGTAAGTAGGTCATTTTGTGAGCATTTACTACAGCTCTGTCCATTAGGCGTGAGCATTGCCCACACAACTCCATACCTTTGCTTGGTTTTCTGTATCTGAAGTACTTTCCTGGTAACTTTACATGACTAATACATTTTGGTACAGATCCATTATTGTTTTGAATTGTGTCTTCTAAATGTCTTCTGTCTTTGTGCATTCACATTCATATATACATTTCTATATAGGATTCAGTTTACCTTCAAGTCTCAGTACAATTTGAACTATAATGTGATACTAGTTTGGTAACAAACAGGTAGGTGATAAAACTTACTGTTTTTCAATGGCAGTAAATTCTGGTGTTCTTTATTGAAATTTCTTCCAGTGAGTAAATAATTAGTAGTACAGTAGCTTACTAATCGCTTTATCATAATAAGATTAATACCATACATTTTTCCCAAATTTTCATACTCTACAAGTACTCCTTAAAATTTTGATAATAGATTATTAATAAATAGATTACACTGGCATGAAAAATATCATACTGTAGTTCTATTCTCAGCTGGTGCATGAACTGTAAATTGGTTTAGGGTACTTACTTGAAAATTACTTATACAGTATAATAGCTAATGTTTAGAAGCTGAGTAATAATTCACTTTTTGCACCTATTATAAAGGGCAATTCAATAACACTTTAGTGGCTGTAAATTCTGTTTTTAAATGATTTATTAACTGAAATAAACTAACAGAACATTAATAGAGTATAATAACATTAATAGAGAAAAACATGGTAACAGACCCTATAAATAATTAAATGCATGATTGTTAGAAAATCATAGAGTTTTCATTTGTAAGTGGTGTGTTAATTTAAACTTCAGAGTTGAATTACTAAAAACATTTATTTACAATATATCTCAGCTGTTACTAATAGACTTCACAAGTCTAATTGAAATGAAACAATAAGCAACAATGTATAATAATAATAATAATAATATTAATAATAATATTAATAATAATTGCTTACACTTATATAGTGCATTTCTGGACACTCCACTCAAAGCGCTTTACAAGTAATGGGGACTCTCCTCCACTACCACCAGTGTGCAGCATCCACCTGGATGATGCGACTGCAGCCATAGTGCGCCAGAGTGCTCACCACACACCAGCTATTAGTGGGGAGGAGAGCAGAGTAATGAAACCAATTCATAGATGGGGATTATTAGGAGGCCATGATTGGTAAGGGTCAATGGGAAGTTTGGCCAGGACACCGGGGTTACACCCCTACTCTTTTCGAGAAACACCCTGGGATTTTTAATGACCACAGAGAGTCAGGACCTCGGTTTTACATCTCATCCGAAGGATGGCGCCTGTTTACAGTATAGTGTCCCCGTCACTATACTGGGGCATTAAGACCCACATGGACTGCTGGCCCCACTAACACCTCTTCCAGCAGCAACCTTAGTTTTTCCCAGGAGGTCTCCCATCCTGGTCAGTACCAGGCTCACACCTGCTTAGCTTTAGTGGGTTGCCAGTTATGAGTTGCAGGGTGATATGGCTGCTGGCATGATCATATATAGCGATATAGCTATATAGCGATCATAACTGGTCAGAATACTCACTTAAGACTACTGTCACACAAAAAATGTGTAAAGAGAAAGTAGAACTAAACAAAAACACACAACTAACTCTAAAAACTCAACAATACATAATTCAGTAGATTAGAGACGTTTGAAAGAGAATGTATATGCTCCTTTAAAATTTAAACATGGCACCAGTTTGAAGTCTGCTTTTTCCTTATTAATTAATTTATTCCTCCTCCTCTTCCTCCCCATGGCCATCTCTGCACCATGTTCACCCTCACGTGGGCATCTAGTATGTTGCCACTGAGGCCTACAGAATGAATTGCTGCCTCTATCTCCCCGAGTGTAGCTCCCACCCTTGTGATCTGCCGATCCAACTGCTCTCTCATACTGTATCTCACAATCCAACCTGAAGGACTACCTTTCGTGTCTTCCTGTTTCTGAAGTGAGAATGACAGGAAATAAGTACTTCTCCAAAGCATTCATTTACAGTATATTGACCTGGATGGGTATATAACCTCTGACTTGATAAGAAATAATTACAATACAAAATACAATTAAAAAAAGATGGCAGCCTATCTACGGCACCTGGAGGTTGCAGTCACAGCTTGAGGTGAAAATGTGGTGACCGCGTACAAGCTTTGCTGGGTAAGGGCTGGGTAAGAGTCAGGGAGGCGCCACAACCATATGGAGGTAGAATTATGCGTGACCCAAATTACACACCTCTGTGATTACTTTTAATTAATTTACACTTGAAATGTCTGTGTTCAAATGTGTTTTCACAGGATCTTACCCCAGGCTGTCCCTCAGCTTCAAACTGAAGAGAAACATTGGGTACTTCATTTTGCAGACTTACATGCCTTCAATTCTGATCACTATTCTCTCCTGGGTGTCCTTTTGGATTAACTACGATGCTTCAGCAGCCAGAGTTGCTTTAGGTATGAATTCTTATCAAAGTTCTTACACTGATGTCCTGCTCTTTCACAAAGATTTAAATGTGCACTACTAAGTTATTTTTTAAATTAGAATATCGAACGTGTCTGATTTATTTGGGGTGGCTTGATTTAAATTACACTTAAGCTATATTTCAACAATATTTGACATGTATTTCTTGTGTATTGCTTTTGTTTGCTATTAGGTGCTATTACTGTTGATGTTCTTTTAGTGATTGTGCATTCTGTTACCAATCACAGTTTGCTATATCACCTCTGAATTTGAACAATTTTGATAGCATTTTGAGATACATCCTAATGTAGGAGGCAAATGGTTTCTACATACTGTAGGACTCTTTCATTCTGAAGAACACTCATGTTGATTGGAGTAAGGTTTTCACTCTAGGATGAATAGATTACACATTTCTTTAAAAACAAATCACAGTATATGTATATAAACAACAATAACAAATACAGCACTGTAAAATAAAAGTAACAGCCCCCTGATCATTTTGTTGGCTTGTACTGTGGCTCACAGAGGTTTCTGTGCATTGAAGTCCCGTAAAATAAGTTGGCACCACACCCTTATAAGGATACAAGTCAGTGTGTTATCGGACAAGTACTATAATTGTTTTGATTTAGGAATTGTTGGATTGTTCTTGTTGGGGTTTATATTAAATGAATAAACAAAACAAGATCAGCAACCAGATTATAAAGAGTTATTGTAGAACTGTTGTGAGCTGAGATAATTATAATCAACCTGAATTTGAGAAAATATTGATTGTGCACAGCTGGCAAAATAAGTGTAAACAAGAACTCACTGTCCCTTGTAAGACAAATGGCTACATACAGTACATACTTTTCTACTTGTGCTTTCATATGTGTGAATATATATTTTTTCAATGTCTTTTTTGGAAGCTCTACTCTACTGTAGTATTTACAATATATGTAGTTTTAGTTTACAGATGGTTATATTTTGTACAGACACAATCAATTGGTCTGCTTAACCACTTTTAAAAGTCAGTGGGTCAGCTCTGTACCTCACCTCTGGATGGAACACAGAGGATTTGTATCTTCTGGATCAGCAACTTGGTCCAACAAAACCAAGTTTTTTTGTGCCTTTGCCTCTTCCTCTGCAGTATCTATCACACTTGCATTCACCTTTTAAGCCATAACTCACTCATGTTGCCAACAAGACCAAACCATTTCAAGTAATTCTTACATAAATCTAAGCCAGGAATATGTACCAGGTGTCCACACTTAATATCCACACCATATAAAGAATCATAGCCACACAAGTGATGATACAACTAGTGTTTTATGAATCTGAACTTTGGCTCTGTTGACTGGTTCCATTTGAAGAGCAGTCTGGGAACACCAAAAGCTTTCATACTTACTTCCCTTTCTATCTTTCCTTTAATTTCCAATCACTGTAAATCATATTTCCTAGACATACTGTACAAAACCATTCACCGTCTTACCTTGCTGCCCATCAATGTACACATTGCAGTGGCTTT